CCCCCCCCCCCCCAAAAAAAATACGAATCATCTGGATTGGCAGGGCAATCAAAGATTTTAAATGATAGAATGTAGGAGTTATTAAATTAAGTAACTTACATGGCTTTCAGAGGGAATTAAATAGAATTTATAGACGTAAATTGTACAGATATTGGTCCAAAAATCAGGGTTTCATTCATGTTTTAACTCTTTCTCAGCGCGACCCTGTTATCGTATGGCACTCATACAATACGACTTTGACATGTCATATCTTCGGTTCGTTGAATGCTATGTGGACAAAAATCCCACCATTCGATTCAGTGCAACGAAATCTCTTCATTCGTAACGATAGTTTTAGTCAATGGCAACATTATAACGATTTATGAGCTTTGAAAGTCAAACGAGCTTGTATATCAAATTACGCAATATTACCGACAAATTATAAACATAAACATACCTTTCGCCGAATATAACTTCGTCCCATTGAGACGTATGCTCATTCTGATCGTCTTGATGAATTCAGAAGTTAAAAATAACACGTATAGTGTTATTTTCAAGCTTCTGTCTTAAAAGTTCGACATTTAGTGCCGAATTTTGTATTTCTGCTCCGAATATGCGTTAATCCCAACCGGAAATACGACGAAAAACCGTCAAAACAATGCGAAGTTTGTATTGCGTGACTCTGGAAATGCCAGAAATGGATTCTACAGGTCAAAGTGCACCCATACGCGTGAGTTTGACGTCATCCCGGCTAAAGGGAGCTCCTTATTGGCCAAGTATTAAGCCCGTTCTCCACTAGGCGAATTTATTCGCGCGAACAGATAAAAAGTAGGAAGCGATCCTACTTTTTCGCCGCGAATTTTTTCGCCGACCAATCACGTTGCCGGATTTCGGTTTTCGCTTCGCGTCGCGCGAACAAATTCGCCTAGTGGAAAACGGCCTTTACGTAATACAAGTGCGTGCGAGTAAAACCAGATACTTGAAAAATTCAAAATAAATATTTCTGCTCGCCGTATTCATATGAAACTTTCTACACGAAAGCGCTTGAATACAAAGAGTATTTTACACATATATTCTTTCAGAAAATGACACCAAAGTTTAGAGTATTCAGCTTTTTCTCTTTTTCTCGTTTGAATTTTTGGCGAAGCGGTGAGTATAAATATATGGTTGTTTCGGTTTGTGTAATGTTTTGACGGCACTTGACCCCCCGTTCGAAAGGTTATTTTATGAGGATTTCAATGGTGGGTTTTATTTTAAAGGGGGGTAAATACTCGCCGAGATATTTACATTAGAAAAATTGAATCGAAATGTAATGCGAAACCACGCGCTGAGAAAGAGTTTTAACAGGAATTTGTAGGGAAAAATTTTTTGGCCTTTAATTTAACAGGTTTATTTTTCTGGAAAAATTTTTCGACCCCTTTTTCTAATATTCGGAAAAAATTTTTCAACCCTCCCCTCCCCCCGTCACCAATATTTTTGGGAAAAACAGTGACCAGAAATAAAAATTTGCTGCAGGGCATAATCAATTTTGGCAGACACCCCCCCCCCCCGAATTAAAAGGGGCTA